GATTCCGATTCACAGCTAAATGCTTTCTTCCCTTTCTTTGGTCTTGGTTTTGACAAAGAAAAGGGACACGATCTTTTTTTTTTTCGAAGAATTCATAGATTTCACAAGACGACAACTTTGAGAGCTTCCAAGATGGCGAATCGCGTGTGTTTTGTGAAACACAAACACACATGTACTTAGCTGTCACGTAACCTCTCCTTATTTGACAACGCGATGACAAGAATTGTCAGCGGCTAATTAGAATAATTAAGATGGCAAAATTGTCTTCGCTTAATAACTTCCCGTACGAATAACATTTTTTGGTGGATTTTTTTTTAAACGAAAGCTATTCCTAACATTTATCGAATCATATAAAAATCCAAAATTATGCAAAACGGTCAATTTTGGGTTGGCTAATACCTTAATGAAGGACGTTCGCGCTAATTGTTTCTGCGCATCTTTACTGCGCACGCAAATTCACACGCCACGTCTTGCATGAGAGCGCGCGCCAAGTAACAAAATGAACAATGAGAGGGCAGATGGCCATTGCTATAGCTTTGCCTGGATTTAACGATCTTGGACGTTCGGTGACCCTTACTTTTCTTTCCAGAAGCAGATTTTATTTACAGTTATCTCCACATTGTCCAAAAATGACCAAAAACTCAATGTGGGAAGTTAAAAAAAATTCAAGATTTCTGTCCAAGGGACTTCGAATCCTTCCATCTTGCAGCTGCAAGGCGCGTGAAACTATGGTCGCTAAATGCAAACTTGTTCTTTAAGGAACCTCACCTGTTGACTAAACTCACTTAGGTCCACTTAAACAATATTTGGCAGAGAACATTTCCCTTTAAATATCTAATTGCAATATCTTTGGGCTTACAGACACTGTGGCCTTATTCGCTACTGAAGCCCGATTTTGTCAGATTTAGGGTGTTCTTCAGGGCGAAGTCGGTGACCCCCCATTTTTTTTACAATTTTGACACAACTAACTCATCATCTTACAGTGGTAAAAGTCTCAGAAAAAAATCAACGTTGGAAAATTTTTGCGCGAACCTCCTTAATAGAGGCTTGACTGTACGTTACGAATAAAATTACATCTTGTGATCACGTGACTAACAATCAATATGTCAATGTCAACTAAGGGTGGGGGGTCCCCTAAACTCCGTGCACTATATATCCAGAAATCATTTGCAGAAGCACATTATTTCAAGTAGTTTTAATCACACGGAGTTGGAAAATTATCTATTATTATTATTGTGTAAAGGATATGGGATGAAGTATGCTGCCTGAAAATTATCAATATTTTATCACAGCACGTATTACCGACAACTTACTGACACCCTACCGGTCGGACATCTCGCCGACACATCACCGACTGTCGGCCGACTGTTGATCTGTGCTTGGACCAAAAACTAGCCACCTGTCCTCCATTTGAGGAGGTTAGGCTAGGTACGTCTTCTAGGTACGATCAGGTCATCTTGGCTTAAGTGTTACATTTTTTTTTTAAAAAAATCTTTACTCAAATGGAAATGGCTCCACCAGTCAGAGTCAAATGGGCTCTTGTGATTGGGGTCATTTTGTGTAGTAACAAAATGACTCTGTTCTTCGATATTAAAACGGCACCATTGATAGGAGCTGGGACGGCCCTAAGTTTTAGCCAACTAGACTTAAACGAAAATGGCTCTAGTGATAGGGGCTGATACGCACCAAGGGGCTGATTTATTGTCCTCTGTGGGCCAAATCGGTTTTTAATGGGGCTGAAACAATTTTTATTGGGGTCGATTAAGACCAAATTGACAAAATGGCCCCACAAGGAGTCAAATCAGCTTCATAGGCCATAGAGCTGAATTAGCACTTTGGGGCTGAAACAGATCTTTTGAATTCCCAGCGTGGTCAGGATGTGAGGAATTCTTCAACAGAAGGTTCCGTTTTAACAACAGCAGCGGCTCCAACAACAGCAGTGGCTCCAACAACAGCAGTGGCTCCAACAACAACAGTCGCTCCAACAACAGCAGTGGCTCCAACAACAGCAGTGGCTCCAACAACAACAGTCGCTCCAACAACAGCAGTGGCTCCAACGACAGGTCCCGTTCAAACAACAGCACAGCTCCAACAAGAGGTTCCGCTCTAACAACAGCATGGCTCGATCAACATTGCTCCAACAACAGCATGGTTCCAACACCAGGTTCTGTTCTAACAACAGCAGGGCTCGAACAAGATCATGGCTCCAATTATAGCATGGCTAGAACAACAGATTCTATTCTAACAACACCATGGCTCCAACAACATCATGACTCCGGCAACAGCACGGCTCAAATAACAGATTGTTATCTAACAACAGCAGTGGATCCAACAACAGCAGTCGCTCCAACAATAGCAGTGGCTCCAACATCAAGTACCGTTCCAACAACAGCATGGCTCGATCAACTGGTCCTGCTGAGTATCCCTTTATTTATTCTTTTATTATTTTATTATTGGGCTCGACGTTAGGAGTTTGCAACATAAACTCAACGCACTAGAGGACTGAGCCCTAGCGCTTAGCAGAAAAAATCTCGATTTTTGAGTTATGTTTTGGTAAAAAAAAATACCTGAGGCATCTTATAAAATTTATATTTTCTTTCAAAGGTCTAGTTGTTTCACCTTCAAAAGTGTCTTCTCGGTTAGATGCCTTTTAAAAGCGATATTAATTTGAAATGGTTTCCCGGAGAAATTGTATCTGATCAATGCTGGCAACAGAATAAGACCATGCTTTAGCATTTTATTACTTCTTGTTATAGAATGGGTCCATAAAAAATTACCCACCAATCTGATTCTACCGTTAGCTACTATTTTAGACTGCATGACGTTTAGTTGTCTTGCTGGGAACAGCTCCATTGAAGTTCTTATAAATAAAGCGCTGATCGAATTGTTAGAATCAAACCTTGATAAAACTAGGCTGATATTACACTTCTTAAGGTGAACAAATTCTTTTGTTTTGCTGTATATCGTAACCAAACTTGGTGGACTAACCTAATCAGAATGCTGCTACTTCTTGAGGCTTTATATTCACAAAAAAAGAATAACTCATGCACGCCTTGCGTGCCTTTGTTTGGTAGGGAGGTTGGGAAATACCGGATGCGGAAAAACGTATACTGGTACGACCAACCATCGTTCCCAGGCTCTCTCTCCTCTGCCTTGTCATTGGGAGAAAGACTCTGGTTGCGGCTGTTCACGTGACCACCTGTGACAAACTTTTCCACCGGGGTGGAGTCAACGAATAACTTTTGTCGATCTCAACTGAAGCGAAAGGCGATCGCTGGTCATCGCTATATTAAACCACACACAGGCAAATGCACCATTGAAATTTTCCCCCAGTCCTATTCTAAGCTTCACACAGGTCAAACTTGAAGTATTACTCCAGCCGGTCGATTTACTAAGAAGTAAAACTGTTTCCCCGTTTCATGTTGCATGAATTTAATAACCTCACGGCACATTGTGCTACCATTTTCCAAAATATAATTATTGATTATGCCAAGGAACCGTGTTTCAACATCTGTCTAAATATAAACTTACATAAACCAGCGATAAACCTGATGCAGATGAGATGTAAGTGCGGGCTTCTGTTAACAAAACCGTAAATAATTTTGCGGTGCGGTAATTTGGATGTTAAAAAGTATCTTTGTCACACTGCCGATTAGCCGAGTATTCTGACTTGCATTTGATTTACAGCAATGCAGAATGATTTACAGTTTTGTTACCATAAGGCTAGGTGTTCAGAGCTGACACCTGCCATTGTAAAAATTGATTATCATATTAGTAACAATAACAATAATCATTTTGCAAATGTTTCGGCAACTGGGGCCGGACAATTTGACTAAATGTTCAACTAAGTTTTAGTCTGACGTATCCCAAGCTCCTTGGGAGTCGTGAGCATTATTATATGACATCGCGTAACAGCGTAAATATAAGAGTTTGTACTGGGAATGTATAATAATTATCATATTAGTAACAATAACAATAATCATTTTCCAAATGTTTCGGCAACTGATGGGGCCGGACAACTTGACTAAATGTTCAACTAAGTTTATTTAAAACAGCCATATTCATTAATCATTAACTCAAAAAACGTCATATGGTTCGCCGGTATCTGGTAGGGGAATGTCATGACTAAAACAAAGGACAAACTGTAACAACCACAATTACACCAAAAGGCAATCGCTCTAAAATGTTCAAAATGCTTGCACGATTATTTAATAAACGCAATAGGCACTGGGTTGAATTTATTACAAAAGTAAATTACAAGTTAAGAATAGAAAACCAAGTTTCTGGTTCTCTTTTATGATGCTTCTTCGCATTTTCTGTCCTGCTAATGCTTTAAAGGTATTAGAAAAGTGTGTTATATCTCTAGATTAATTGCTACTAAAGATTAATTACGGATATGCAATTTAGAAAATACCTGTATTGCTGTTACGTACGTAAAATTGTTCAAAATCGATTCTTTATAGTAAGTAGGGCGAAGAAGCTGTCTTGTACTGTAAGTAGTGTTAATAGCTCTGTTGTATTGTAAGTAGTGCATGTAGCCTTTATTATACTGTTTTAGTGCAAAGTAACAGCAGAAGTGTTGTTAAGTATAAGCAAACATAATAAAATAACTTTATTATGAAAAAAAAAAAACGCAATAGGCACCACAGGTATCCCAAGTTCCTTGGGAGCCGTGAGCATGATTATATGACATTGCGTAATAGCACAAATATAAGGGTTTGTATGGGAATGTAACGATCGTATGTAACAGTTCGAAAAATGGAAAAGAAATTGAATAAAAACGACTTACTTCGACTCTTCTGTGTGTTACTTTTGTCTCCATGCCGTTATGAGACGATTTCAACACGATTTTAACGAGTTTCAGTTTCACCGGTTTCCACTCAATATATTCCTATTTATAATATAGATAGGACCCTGCGCGCGCTCTGATTGGTCAAAAACCCATGTTTTATCAGAGTGTAAAACATAGAAAAAGCGTGTTTTATTGTTTTTCGCCACATTACCTCTATATCATAAAGCAAATGAAGAAGCCTAAGCCGTGTATTACACTGTGATAAAACACTCTGGACATTTGAGAACAATCTAGAAAGGTAGAAAACACGCCTACGGCTCGTGTTTTCTAACTTTTTCTCGTGTTCTCAAATGCCATTCCCTTGTCATTCCCTGCGGTTGACTGATCGGGACCTAGAACTTGTTCCTGCCAAACCCGGTGCCAAACACACACAAACAATCAAACCGTATCCTACACTACGATCGAGTTCCTTAGGCACAGTCTTCAGCGCCTACAAAAAACTGATTCAAAATCTTGACGAAGTTAATGCGGCATTATTTCAACATTAACGTATCAGTACAAATGACCATCATTCGTTGGCGCCGCTTTACAGTCGGACATTTGACGGAAAGTAGATATTTTCTGAAAGCTTAAGAATTGTACATTACGAAGGTAAAACTCGCCAAAATGGCTCTAAACCACTTCCAGGAACCCAGAGACATCAAAATAACGCAATGCAAACATAAGGTAAGCCATTTTATTCAAATTATTTTCTACACGTGGTATAGCATTTAGAGTAATTTTCGAAGCATTCTCATACATTGTCAGGAGCCCATGACCAGGAGCCTTCATCTCCCATACTAACCCTTGGAGTCAACCCTTTCCCGTATTAATTTATTTTTAGAACACCGCGGGGCTCTCGTGTTGCCGCAAATTCTTTAGAATGCCCAATCAGAGAGAAGCTGTTGTATACGTCACACGCCCGTCACACGCCGCTGGTCACAGCTTACAGCGAAATAATAACAGTAATGGCGGAATGCGTGGAAAATGCGGGAAACCTGCGGGAGATCAATTCTAAAAATAAATTAATACGGGAAAGGGTTGACTCAAGGGTACAGTACGTATGGAGGCTCCTGGTCATGGGCTCCTGACATTGTCTTATAAACGGCTAAACTTGTAACACAATCGCCAACAGCATAATGTCACGTATTATCGTATTCAACGTCTGGGCCGCCTGTGAAACAACATACATTTGGGACATTTGGTCAGATCAAGTAAGTTGCAGGGTAAACAATAAGTCCTTCCTCAAGCGTTCGAAACTCTTGTTCAGGTTTAAATCTTTCAAATCGAAGCAATGCGAAAATAAATTAAGCTCAAAACAACGAAATCCGAGTTCATAATAACTAAACAAGATGTTATTTCGATGGTTCTTTATTAAGTCTATTAAATATACACCTTCAAATTTTCTTTGAACACATGCAGTCCACCTAACGTGCACTCCAAAATAATGAATATGTTGCGCTGTGTTCTAAGGGCGGCGAAATACAAGAAACAAAACCCGTATTTCGTATATCGCAGCTTTAAAGGCGGCGACGATATGTTCGATGCAAAAACTCTCAACTTGGCTGAAGTTTCGAGTTTTTCACCTTGCGTGATCAACTTGTTCTTTCGAATAGTAGAGAGCGGGTCTACTTTGAGCAACCGTCTATTGTTAGTGATATTGGTGTTTTTAGTGTTGTAATAACATTAGTTGTAGTAGTACTACGTCTGCTCTCAAAATTAAAGACGAAATTGTTATGTTGCAAAAAAAAAACAACAACAAAAAAACAAATTTTGGCTTTGTTGCTCGTTCATCAAACTCACAACTTGTCACGCATAAAATTTGTTCACATTTCGAGACAAGTTGAGGCTTTGTGTATCTCGTGAAGCAGTCTCAGAGCTTACCACATGAAACATTCCATGTTGCGACAAAATCAACCTTGAATCCGGAAAAAAAAAACATAGGCACGCAAGGCGTGCAAGAGTTTTTTTTTTGTGAAGTCTTGGAGATAGGAGCATTCATGGAGCTGTTTACAGTAATGATTGGGTTAATTTGACAAGTTTTTCTGGTTGCGATGTACAGCAAGAAAGAAACTGGGAATTTATGATGTACATACGATGCTACATCGGTAATGGTAAGATAGCTAAATAGTAAGCCCTAAAATGTTTGACTGAACAAACTACAGTAATCTGACACGTATCCGGATTAATGTAGATACCGTCTTATTTTTTTCTTTGATTCGTTCTTTGATAAAACCCAAACTGTGATTGGTGTGACACGTGCACATGCATAACACCCTCACTCACCGATCACATAACCCGTCCAACCCCCAAGAGGAATTTTTGCTAAAAAATACTCAAGTTAAGAGACCTTTTCGCATTTTATACGAGTCGTAAGTTTACCCTTTTTACACAACACAACACAACAACACTACTTC